GAACATATTGACCATGCATTCAGTGACAAAGAGACAAGCAGACAGCGATAAATTTAGAGAGTATGATTGCAAGTTATGGACAAAACGGAACCAAAAGACGGTCTGGAGCAGGGACAGAGAAGCAGAGAGTTTGAAATACAAAGAAAAAGCTAGGAAACGATCGGTGGGCAAATTGGGCAGGATGCAAGAGGGACAGTAGAAGTGGTCTCACGATGGAAAAAGGGAGAGGCGCATAGATGGAGGTGAACCGACGGAGAGACAGGAACGGCACAAAGTAAGCGAGTGAGATACGGAGCGCCGATCGGACGGAGGAAGCGAGGAGATTGGGACATGGAGTGTCCTTAAGGCTCGAAAGCTTTGTGAGACGGACAAGCGATACGCTGCTTTCAGCTCCAGGGTATATGCTCACTTTCAGTCCGTTTTCTGTCGCGATGCTAGCGCCATAATCTATGAAGGCGCTCTTTTTCGGCAGCCTGTGGGCGCCATCTGCAAAAGAGCCCGAGCGATTATCGTCGACACTGAAATATTACTCAAGCAAGGCGATTCGAGACGCCACGCTGAGGGAAGAGAGATGGCGGTAAATTATCTGAAGATGGCCGCGTCTCTGAACGATCCCTGGCAGATCAATGTATTCAGGATTGTGACAGAGCCTGGCTGGAGCAGCGACCTGTCGGATCTGCATTTCAGCAAGTATTTTCTTTCCATCTCTGCAACGCCTGCAATCCCGAACGTACACCACTACGTGGCATCTTTCACGGACAAACCACTACGCAATTCTGAGCCCCACTTTGTTTGCGTCAAAGCACGAAACGGACACGGTTAGAAAGCTGTGGTATCTTGTAACAGGCCTACACACTCCTTTAGTCCGGACCACAACGTTAGTGACTTCAACCCGAAGCACGCAGTATAGGCATATATGCACCTCTTTCTGGACTTTCTTTTTCTCATTCTGGTCAGTCCTACTCTTCTTCCTTTGCGCAAGAAGGGCAGGGCTGTGACCCCACACCGAATGATGTTTGAGATGTGTATTTCGATTCAAAACCGTATACAAAGGCGGGGCATTCCCTTCAACCCGACTAAATGGCTGATCCATACTTGAAAGGTTATGTGTTCAAGCCGAGGTGTTGTAGAGGTTTTCTTCCAGCTCCCAAAGGAATATACCAAATTGTTTGCCTACCAGCCAATTCATGTTATCAGTGTAATGTAGCACACAACTCCGACAGCATTATTTGCGAAGAGTCTGGTAATAACATTTCAGCACATATCACTGTCATGGATGCAGATTTCACTCAAGTATTGGAATTGGACCACGTCGCGGAAGTCACGAAAAGGAGGACAGGCATCAAGAACAAATAATATTTTATCCACTTGTCGTTAGGTTGTCCACAGCTTATCTAAGTATTTATATAAGAAATAGTAAAACATGATGACAATGCCATCAGTCGCCATCATCTTTGCAATTCGTTGACGTTTCAATACATTGCGCGCCATCATTTGGACGAGTGCAGTGGCACAAAGTTACAATGAAATATGAATACATTAAGCTGATATCGTTAGACGTGACAACGGTTACAGCCAGCACGTTTCAACACGGCCTATCTGCGCATAAACCAGGACAACTTAGAAGATACCGAAATCACGCGACGAAACATCTTTTTTACTCCGTATGAAAAAGGCTACCCTGTAATTTGCAAGCAATATGCAGACATAATATTTAATGGCGGCTTTTAGGTGAATATGAAGTGATTCTAAAATCCTAAGGTTGAGAGAATTGTTGCAATGCCCTAATGCGGAAAAGTTTTAAATTTTCAGTGTGTTTCATACCCAAATGAATGGTCTGGGATGTGGGAGGGTTATGGGTTAGGCAAATTGCTACCTATACGGTCAGACCTTCCCAAATTTCGCTGCACTCTGCGGTGCAAACTACGAAGGGTCGAACCCACGTAAGATACTCCATACGAAGGGTCAAACCCACGTAAGATACTCCACACGAAGGGTCGAACCCACGTAAGATACTCCACACGAAGGGTCGAGCCCACGTAAAATACTCCACACGAAGCACAACATTTACGAATGATTGCAGAGGACAGAACATGTCGAAGCGGGAAGTTGTTTCCCCTGAAAGAAAGGTTTGAGATGACGGATTCGGAACAAAAAGTTTACAGCTGGAACTTAAAACGAAAAGATTTGTAAATACCTGACTTCACACCAATTCAGTCTAAAAGCGTCTGAAAGCGAACGAGAAAAACGTCTTTATCTTCAATGGTAAACTGTACGAAACAAAAAGAAGGCGTGGTGGTGAGCTTCCACTTGGACGCACTTTTGCCAATCAATCCTTACGTGCATTCACGACAAGTCGATCTATCCAGCTGCCCTCTGAATTTCGACCAGTATCCTATCGGCGATACTGACGACTTACTATCTGTTGTTTCTACACAGGTGGCATATTGATCAATTTCACACTTGTCTTCACGTCCAGCATTCTAACAAAAAGTTTACGAAGGAGGGGAAGGAAAGGGAATTGGCTCTTTGGCTCTCCATGATGTGTGAATTCGAAAGCTACAAGGCAAATTTGAAAGCTTCTGTCTATAGAGAGCCCACGTTCACTGGACTTGAACTAAGCTTTTTCTCGTTCATTTCCGACGCTTTTAAGCTTTATTGTGTGAAAACAACCACTTACGGAGCTTTCCGTTTATGTTCTAACTATAAACTTTTTTGTTCCCAACTTGATTGGCTCAGGTCATTCTTTCAGGAAAAGGAGTTCCTGTTTTCGATCAGTAATATTTAAATAAAGTGCTTCTTGAATGCAAAATGTGTAAATCCCGAACCGTTCATGAAGTCTCAAGACTAAATAAATATTTGGTGTCGTCATATTCATGAAAAAGCCCATACGACTGACAAATGAACTTGCAAACCTCTTCAAGGCTTTTGCCCTTTTTGCCTCCTGGAATGATAGCAGACCATTCTTTTACTGTTGAACCTTTCTTCAACGTAAGACACGCTTCTCAAACGTTCCGTGTTTGCAGCCACTTATCAATTTTGCTGTTCCTCGTGTGGAGCATTTTACGTGGGTTCAACCCTTCGTAGTTTGCACTGCAGAGTGCAGCAACATTTGGAAGGATCTAGCCATACAGGTAGTATTTTGTCTGACCAGACCCCTCGCATGTATATATATATATATATATATATATATATATATGTCGTCTATTCTGGAAAATGCCCGTACGAC